ATACTTTTGCCTTTAAAAATCCCCCCATTAGCATCTAACTATTTATCTTAATCTATTAAAAATTGCCTTTCTACAAATTCTGCTACCTTGGTTTTGACTTACACTAACGAGGAGGAGTTGTCTGAAGATATTAACATCATGAGAACTCTGGGTATATGCTTTCATGCATTTCCAGAATTCATGGTTTTAACTCAAAGCTCAGCAAGAGACAAACCCAGCCATGAATATTAGAAAGGCAATTTTTAATAGATTAAGATAAATAGTTAGATGCTAATGGGGGGATTTTTAAAGGCAAAAGTATTGTGGCTGATGGAACTTCCTGAAAAGGACACTAAGGATAGCATAGTCTCAAGCATTATCACGGAGGAAGAGAAGACATCTAAAGATGGCATTGTGAGGAGCTGAGGCTAAAGAAGGAAGCTTATTGAAAAAGGAAGGAAGGGCTAACAGCCAAGAAAATTCTACAAAAATACAGCTCAGAAATGTAGGAATGAGGTCAGGAAGGCAAAGATGGAAAGTGAATGAAGGATAATAAGAGAGGCAAAATCCAGCAAGAAGGATTTCTTCAGATATGTCAACAGCAAAAAGAAGACAAAGGTGGCGATAGGCTCACAGCTTATTCCAAATGAAACAGTCTTAACAGATGATGGAGGAAAATGATGAGACTCCTATTTTGCCTCTGTCTTTCCAGCCAAAGGAAATGGTGATTTAAGTCACATAGACTTAAAATAACTCTTACAACTAAGGATGCAAGTCAATCAGAATAGAGTAAAAGCTTCTACCTAGTGTGAATACCTTAAGTTGCAAGCGTTCATGAAAGACATCCTAGAATACTGAAGAAATTGGCTGATGATGTTTTGGGACCTCTGTCAATTATTTCTGAGAAGGCTAGAGTACTGAGAAGGGTTACCAAACTGGAGAAGAGCAAATATGGATCCCTGGTTCAGGAAAGGAGAAAAATAAGTAATTATTGATCAGTGAGCATCAATCTTTGGGGGGAAAATGTTACTTCAGGTAATAAAACAATCCATTTGTAAGCGTCTTGAGGACAATGGCAACCTTTTAAGAGCCGGGAATGTGGGTTTGCCAAAAAAAGGTCTTATAAGAAAAATCTCTCTCCTTTCTTGACAAGGTATGAGAATTTAAATGAGAATAAAGGGGAATGTTGTGGATATAACCCTTAACCACAGATGTACTATTTNGGAAATCCATTCCTACTCCCACACCATTCAAAGGGTGTTCATCCCAAATTGTACAGCTAAAAGTCTGTAGAGATTTTCAGTCATCCAGGTCATGGTTGACTGAGGAAAAAACAAGGAAGTCCAGTTGCCTCCTGAAAAAAGCACTTTTGGGACAACCATGACTTGGATGACTGAGAATCTCTACAGACCTTTAGCTGTAATAGCCTTAGTGGGCTACCAAAGAATAGCCTTAGTGGACTACTAGTACTCTTAGTGATATTTTCCTTTTGGGAGCTACCTTCACAGTTGCTATTTCACACCCCCTCCCTCTCATCTTTCCTAAAATGCTTCCTCTACATTCTTAATTGTACAGCTTTGTGTACAGGAGCTAGAAGGTTTTATCCAACCAAAAAATGATACTCTTCTTTTCAATAAAAATGCATCAATGAAGTGCAATCCATCTCTCTGTATATCTCTTTTTCAAATTAAGAAGTATATATTGGATGATGCCATTAATACAGCAAATTTAGAAATGGTCTATTGGATTCTACACTAACATATGAATTGTCCTCAATATCCCAAATGTCAAACCATGTCCTCTTTCCTGCCCTCCAAACTGTGTCAGGGAATGAATAGAAAAACTGATCCTAAAAGGTTTGATAGGGGCACAATGTCTCAGCAGTTAAAGGTGCTGAGTTTGTCAGCTGAAAAGGTTCAGGACCCAAGTGCCAGACAACAGGGTGAACTCCCATTACTTGCCCCAGCTCCTGCCCACCTAGCAGTTCAAATAAATAGGTACCATTTCAGTGGGAAGGTAACAGGGTGTTCCATGCACCTCAATGTACAGTCATACTGGCCACATGACTATGAAAATGTCTTCAGACAACACTGGCTCCCTCGGCAAGGAAACGGAGATGAACACCACCCCCTAGAGTCGGGCACGCCTGGACAAGGGAATCCTTTACCTTTACTTTTAGAAGATTTGATGCTGTTATTCTTAGATAGAAAACATGATTATAAACCAGTTTCAATAGAGTGATTAAGGGTGCTGGAGTAGGAGACCATGGGTTCTAGATGAATTAGAACAAGTAACAGTTTTTTATTAGAATATAATTCTAATACATGAATATGATATATAAAAGGTAAAATCTATTTGGGCAAACGAAACTTCTGATGATTTAACAGATAGGTCTAGGAAGTTTTATCAGCAATCATACAGAAGTGGTTTATGACCGAATGTTTTTCAAGTTCTCTGTGTACTTGAGGCCCCCACTATTCCTTTGTCCAATTAGTAAAGAGCTCCAGCTCTGCTTAGCTGTCCAAACAGGGCCTGATAAATATACTGGCTTTCTAAGCACGTTGCTGTTAGAATTCATGAGTAGCATTCAGATTAAGATTAACTAAGTCCCATAGAAATTAATGGAATTTAAATTAATCACGGGGACTAATTGTCTCTTTGAATTCAATATGCTTCTCATGAGCAACCTGTTCCTAAATGCTGCTCCATAAAAATAGCAGGAAGTTTTTTTCTGAATTGTAGTATTAAAGAGAGCTAGATAACGTAAAATCTGTAACAGTTTCTATAGGTGGCAGACAAAATTAAAAAAAGCTTTTTTGCAGTTATGATCCAGCTCTCCCAAAATTTCAGAAAAACAAAAATTGCATTCCTTATTAGCTACAGAAGGAGAAATGCATTTTAATCTTAAATAAAGATCTATTTTTTAGAATAAGGTACATCCATATTTAGACTACATTTGTCCTGAGCTCATGCTGGCTTACTCTGGCTGAGACATTTTGGCAATAGCCAACAAGATATTCAATATGGCATTAGGCTACTCCATCCTTTCATTGGACAATGACAGATCTTCCTTTAGATGTAGGTTCAATCCAGTTGGAAGTCAGAGGCTGCATAGTTTTGTTACACCAGATGTTCATGCACTTTCTTATGCTTACTGTATAGTAATGCCCAGGAATTTTGCCCAACTATGTATTAATACCCAAGAATAGAACAGACAGTCTGGCTCATTATTAAAAATGTCTTTACAGTAATGCACAAAGTATAGGCAGCAAGCAAGATGAACTGGATATCATTAGCAGAAAGGGTAGTGTGATGTAAAAGGGATTACAGAAGCATGATATTTTTTTTTTAAACAAATAACATGAATTATGCAAAATAATCCCACAGGGGGAACATTGAGCTTGATGAGGGACAAGCAACACAGAAGAGTGAGTGAAACAACAATGCATATTGGGAATGAATGAACTTACCTCTGAAGAGGTCCACAGGTAAGGCTTACCCAGAAGGTAATGCAAATGTAACACACATGTTGAACTAATCTCGGTTAAGGCAAAAGGGCAACTCAACAGAAGGGTTATCCATTCCCAATATGCATTGTTGTTTCACTCACTCTTCTGTGTTGCTTGTCCCTCATCAAGCTCAATGTTCCCCCTCTGGGATTATTTTGCATAATTCATGTTGTTTGTTTTTTAAAAAAATATCATGCTTCTGTAATCCCTTTTNTCACCTAATGTGGAACTTCCCACTTTCCCAAGGAACTATTAAGTACAGCCCCTGGGCATTTGATAACGTCATAGAAAAACTCAAAACATAAGAAGATTACATGAAGAAGAATAGCTTGATTTCATGTGAAACAAAAAAGTTCAAATTAAATTAATTTGAAAATACACAAAAATAGCAGCCCACTAGTATTGTTTGCCACTATCAGAGACAGAATGTTGGAATAGAGATTGATGACTATTATAAATAATAGGATGCACAAATACTTCAAAAAAACTCCATTCATTGGGCATAGCAAGTCATCCCAAACATTTTACTTAGAATTATTAAAGCAGCCACATCTTTTTCCAAACATATGCAAATGTTTTGATATTACCTGCAGCTACCTCCACTTGACACATCACCCTGGAAAAAGATGCGGCTGCTTTACTGATCTGAGGAGAAGTCCATCTAAAGTGGTTTTACCTATTGTGAAGAATCAGCTGTCTTGAAATAAGTATACAGTCTTAATACTGTATATTATTGCAGTAGGAACATAATGCTACTAGTATTATTCAAGATTGGCAAGAATAGACATTTTCTAAGATCACACCTATCCATGAAACTTAAACTAGTTTCTTGACCATTGGAACTAGTTAATTTACTTTCCTGTCTCTTTTGTCAAATAGTGACAATGATGAGAAAGATAGAGCTTTTTCCTATTTGTTTATGGGTTCTTTGTTTAATTAGGAACTTTCTGAATTGAGGGTGGGGATGGAAAAAAGAAAACACTGCAGCTAACAACAATATTGGGGGGGGGAATGAAAGAGAGAAGCGTTATTTAAGGTGTTTTATTAATCTAGCAATTAATACTGTGATGTTGGAAAAGAGAAAATGGAGCAATATTTACCAAGGGTGATGGAAAGATATGACACTTGTAACTATTCTCCATGATTTGCTCAGCATTATTTTCATGACTTGCTTGTGTAAATCATTATGATGAATCAGCTATGTAAACATGAGTCTTGATATAGAACAAGAAACTGGCAAAGGCTTGTTCGGGAATGACACAAGCTTTTCCCCATCTGTTCAACAGTCTTTCTGGATTTATAAAGGACAGAGGAGAGAATATGTTACATGATTGTAATACTTTAAAATGATGCCAAGGTTAGCTTCACCGAGACCTTAAGATTACCTTAAATTTTCAAATTGGTGCTGTTTTATGTACATTTGTGTAGATTGTCCAGCCTAGCTTTACTGCATATCAACTTGAGAGGAGGGGGAGGCTAATTTTCAGAATGCCTATTTTGTGGATAATTCATGTCACCATAACTGAAATGATTAATAATACATAGGTGCTGATTAAGTGTTAAATGTCTGAGATTCTGTAATAGTAAAATTCTGTCTGGCACAAAAAAACATAGCATGATGTAACAAAATGATTCATTGCTATGATGATTAAGCAGTAATATTGGAACTCAATAATGCTAAAGCAAAAATATTTACAGTTCTAAAATTTCAGCTAGGAATAAATTAGGCACACAAAATAATAGATTTTCCTTTTAATAGTAAATTACCTTTCTTTTAAAAATTATTTATATGCATGCTCATTTATTTCTGACCAACCACAGCATCAACGGATGGCTTGCATATGTAAAACAAATTTCACTAAACAAATATGTTGATCAGAAATATCTATCACTTGAAATGCGATACTTTTTAAAGAAGTAGTTCATTCATCCAGTTGTGTCACAACTGTACATGTACATCAGTATAATCCTATGTTATCCCAAGCTATTGTCCTCTTAAAATACTCTACAGAAGTGAAGTCTTGTACAATTGCTTTCTCTATTGAAAGAGAATTATTCATTTAAAGAGACATTAAACTTCGCTGTGCGTGGTGCTAAAATTTTAATACTTCCTGGGCTTAATTAGAATATCCTCATTTACCCAGCATATTTAAACAGTTCATGGTTTTTATTGATTGTTAATGGATTGTATTTATTATTGTTAGTACCACTACTAGTATGGCTACTGATAATACTCTTAATATTAGTACCATTAAATAATACCAGCTGCTTCAGGAAGATGATTTCTTTCTATTGAATTGGATTCAAACTTTTAATTCAAAATAGTTCAGTCTCTACCAATTTTCTACCCAGAGGCATTTAACCCATTTCATCTATTCTAAATATTGCTAAGTCTGCATTCAATCTAGAATATTCTTACCACTATAGCAGTGAAGGAATTCTTGTCAGCTTTCAGTCTTAGAGTGTCTATCTACCATAACTGGGAGTGAGCTAACTGTACTGAACCTTGAAGTTCATATAATTTAAAATAGGGTTATATAAATGTATACATACAGTTGTATACACAAGTAGAAACACTGATTTTGAATTTATTTTTGTCTCTGTGTGTATGTGTGTGTGTTAGTGGTGGGTTCCGGTGGTACGGCCTGTTATGGGCGTAACGGTGGTAGCTTGGAGCAGCGGCCACCGTTCCAGAAGGGTGATTTGTTTGGCCCACCCACCCGCCCGCGCTCCTTACCGCTTTTTGATGCTAACAGGCAATTGCACATGTGCGCACAGCATGTGGCACCTGCACAACCTCCACCGAGCAGCTGAGTGTCGCTGGGCAGTGACATGCCAAATGAGGACACCTGGCCCCGTCGCAGCGTACCGGTTGCGATGGGATCCGGAACCCACTACTGGTGTGTGTGTGTGTGTGTACATATACATATATACCCACACATACCGTTCTGTGAGGTGGGTTGGGCTGAGTGAGAGTGAGTGGCCCAAAAATCACCCAGCTAGTTTTCATGCCTAAGGGAGGCATAGAAACCTGGAAAAGGTTTTACTCTTCCTAGTATGTGCCAAGAATGAATATAAGCTCCAACCAGCATACTGCACAGTGGCTAGTCTAGT